AATATCCTGAAAATGTCCGAAGTGGCTCGCAACCGTAGGAAACGAAATTGATGTCGTAAAATGACACATGCTAAATCGGAATTTTTTGAGAAGGGAGTAGAAAAACGGCATTTGACACACGACTTTGGAAGGAGCGGAGCGAGTGCTTAATAAACGAGTGACTTAAAAAAATTACCATACTTTTTCTAGGAACATTAGTTGTTGGATACACTAACATGACCGTCGCTATCCGACAACATTGTGGCAACTGATATATTTTTGGGTTTTGTCTCCTACTTAAAATATCGCTAAACGTATTCCTTTACTGTAGAATACGCGTTATCTCTTATTTCTCATCTCGTTGAAAATAATTTGCAAAAATTATAAACCGATTTTGAATTACCAATTTTTGAAACTATAAATTAGACTGGTTTTAATTACAGTTAAGGTTATTTATACGCCCATAACCGGTTATATTATTTCTAATCTTGCTTGTGGTCATAGTAAAGTAATCCTTGGTTTACTTCGGTGCACGTACTTTCATTTGATTTTAAAATATTTACACAGTTAATTATAATCCAAGTCTCTCCAATCTCTCTCAATTTACATCACCGGCATAACGAAAAGAAATAATAGTGAATTATTTATGTTAATAGCAAGCTACCGTAAAAAGTGTGAGAGTTTTTGCAGCGTCCCAGATAAATAGCCCATCGGTATACGTTTGCTACCAATTAACTTAATATCAGCGATAAATATTCTTAGGCGTTAGACACGTTCCATTGAACATACTCGATATTAAAATTGGAAAAAAATTATATTGAATTTCGCTTCATATGTTATCTCACGGATCATCGAACAATCGCGTCAGATCCTGGATGTCACTGAAAGGGAACGACGCTACTAACGCATTACACATACAGCAACAATAGCGTTGATAAAAACCAAACAGCACCTATTTGTTGCGAATTTAACTAAAAAATAAATATTATTTCCAGCTTCAAAGCAAAATAAAATTTTATAGGACAACTGAGAAATAAAATTCACGTTAATTCTCAACCTTCAACATATCTTTGCCGGAAATAAAATGGCCGAATCAGGGGAGGGAACAGATAAATTTTGCGCGGATTTAACAGTCATTTCGGTGTTACCTATATACTATGTAAAGCTTCGCAAGGGATGTCAAGGGCTTAAGTAGGTAACAAGTAAAGTCAAAATAAATAAATGTGGATTAAGGTGTCTTATGTAACCTGGTAAAATTTTGTGACCACGAAGAGATCTTAAGCTTGTTGCATTTTATTAAACGAAATATTTTATAATACGCGTGTATCATTCGTGTATTAAGTTGGAGATCTACAATTTGCTACCGAAAAACAAAAATGACCGAAGCATTGGTATGGTCTGTTCATAGATATAAGAAAGTGACCAATTGCTTTTGAATGGGATTATCCAAGGGTAGTCATTATCATACAATGCAACAAGATTATTACCTAAAGTTTCCGAATTTAAATTCAGGTAAAATTGTGGTCCGTAATAGAAAATAATTTTATACCTAACTGTGTTTAATATTCTTTGGTTTGGTATACTAAAGTTTAAGTTTATTAGTAATCATTCTTATTTCGTGTGTTGAATCGTGTGCGAATTATTCAAAATATGTGCGAGTCTAGTGTATCTCCCGCCCAAATGTAGAAAATACTATTCTATTGAGACTAAGGAAGTTATAAACAATGTTTATTTGACTCTCATTGAACGTGGTGCCAGCTAGCAAGCATCTTTAGAAGAAACAGCCAGATTGACGAAAATTCCAACATTAACTGTATGGGAAATTGTGAATAATTCCATTTCAGCGATAAAAAAAGAAGCGATGCTGACATTTTCTCGAGTGTAGATGAAAGTGATCAAGATATAATACGGCGTAAAATTTACCAGTTATACGAGGAACAAAGCGTGCCTACATTAGATATCTTAATTAGGAGACTTGAAAAAGATCAAACCGGTGTTAAATGTGGCAGAACTAAGGAAAAATTGACAAAAGGCAAGTTTTAATGGAATCTTTTAGAATTCGGAAAGGGCGACTGGAATATCTAGAAAAAATTAGGATTTACAGAAAACAACAAAAGCCAATTATTTACTTGGATGAAACCTGGTTCGACACATATGATACCCCGGAAAAGGGTTGGGTTGACTCAACTGACTAAGTGTAAAACAAACGCGAAATCAAAAAGAGGTAAAAGAATAACTATTTTGTATGCTGGCTCTAAAGATGGTTAGATTCCAAATGGACTTTCTCTGTCTGCGAAAAATATTAAAGATTCTTCTCTGGATTACCATGAAGACACCACCGCTGATTTATTTGAAAGTTGGTTTAAAAACAAACTAGTTCCAAACATTCCTCCTAATAGCGTAATTGTATTGGACAATGCAAGTTATCATAGTAGACAGTAACGACAATATCCTCAAACTTATAGAAACCGAATAACATCCCTCCACAAAGTTGGGCCAGTTCTGTTAAACATATAGAACAAGCATAACAATCGTATATGCATATTGCAAATAATATATAGAACAAATAATAATTAGAACAGGCGATGATAGCGATGGTGATACTGATATATTATATGTGAATAATTTTAAGTAATTTAAGTAGGTAATAACAATAATTTATAATTTTATTTGAGATTTAAACATAAATACATACATAAATAAATAAATATTGTTTAGTATATTTCCTAACAGAACCCCAAATAATTAAATTAAATACGTATCATAAAAGCTTAAAATTTTTTAATAAAATAAGAATAGCCAAAAACTTAAATAAAACGAGTATTTGTTGAACTACGTTTAAGATTTAGAACCACAGAATAGAGATTAATTTAATTAATAAAAATCCGAGAGTCCTACTAAATTTGTTAGTGCATTAAAATTCCCTTATTAAAACTCTTAGATATTAATTAGATATTAAAACGCACAATAAAAGTCACCATCGTCTGCTATTTTACTATGCGATGCGTGAGAATTTTAAACGAATAGACAACAATCAATCACCTTTTTGATTTTAGATTATTGATTATCTTCGAAACAATAGTCAGCCTATGCGCATTGTGAGGGTTTTTGTCACGACATAACAGTAGTCAATGTCAGTGGTACCTAGCGCTGCCCATCAGGTTTTTACTGTTTCAAACAATGTAAGTTAAACAGCGATGTGTCCTCGGGCGATATGAAAAAAAAATCAATCTGAGATTGAAGTTTTTCAACACTCTTTTGACATTTTGATACGGCGCGTTTTGATATTGAAGTGTTGTTTGCCGGCCTTGAATTTTTTACAACCTTTGTAACAATTTGGCGTTTGAAATTCATGTTCGGTGATTTGGATTAGGGCTAAATTTTCGAGAAAAGTTCGAATTTGACGTTTTATCTTGATCAGTTTTTCGTCAGTGAAAATGCGTGTGTCAAATAACGTATCCGACTAAGATAAAGTTTAAAACGTTAAATATCTCAACAAATAAAAATGAAAAGATTACTTTCTTAATGCGTAAAAAATTAGGAATTTAAGGAATAACAATATTTTAGAAAATATTACTTATCGTTTTAAATTTACCTTAACATAATTATAGTATATTATGCAACAAGTGCGGTAAACGGCATTTGACTCACGAGTTTATTTGACCCGAGCGGAGCGAGTGTTTAATAAACGAGTGACTTAAAAAGTTTACCGAACGTGTTGCATACTATACATTTTCTACGATCGTTAGTTTTTGGGTACATTTTCGCAAAACACGAGGCATATAATTCACTGACATGACCGTCAGAATTGACAAACGTCAAAAGTCAAGGCGTGGGAAATATTTCCGAAAACATCCGATTGCTCCCAAACCCGTGCCGTAAAATCCTGGAAATGTCCGAAATGGCTCGGATCCGTGGGAAACGAAACTGACGTGGTAAAGTGACGCTTCCCGCAGGCTAGATCCGTGTGTAATTAGATATTTTACAGACGGGAGTAGAAAAAAATATTAAAGCGAAAGCTTGTGGAGTAGATAAAATTTATATAACTCTCATTTCATCATGATGGCCTGTAATCGTGCCCTATATGACACATCATTAATGAATGAATCTTTCTTATCTTCTTACTTTCCACTCATCTGGAAATAAGCGACAATTAATAATTCACATTCGATGTTATTAATTCCGATATTATATAATATTATAATTCCAATGATGACTTACGTAAAATTAATCGAGCAAAATTGTCTTTTGTAGTTTTTGGAAATGATATTCAGTTTGAAAAGGCAAAAAAAAAGGATTTTTAATAAAAGTTGAATAGATAACTAAAATAAAGTAATTTTTATTAATTAATAAGTTTTTGCTACTGTTTGTCAGGCGAACATTTTATTTTGTTGCTGTAATGTGTAATTATTGATATTATTATTAATCACGATCATAAACCAAAAATCAAATTGAAAAAGCAAGGAATGAAATTTTCACTCATAATTTCCGGGTTAAAGCTTTCTTTATATTGGCTGAAGCTGTTTTAGTATTTTATTTAATAACTTGTCCAATCCTTTAAGATAATAAATTCACTGATAAAAAAGATTACGTTTTTAAAGACTAATAAAAGCCAACCAACGAATTGATAGCTGCTACATACCTAATCATAACATCGAAACGCAGACCACAATATTTGTAGGAAAGAGCCTTTGTCAACGCCACTACACAAACACATAAGGAGACACACACCCTATTTCATCCGGGAAGATGGAAAGCCGGCTTTAAATTAAATATGCCTTCTCGCAGGTGTAGCCGCAGAGTGTGCCTATATGTACGTACGTAGTTTGAAACTCGATCAATTAGTACGCAAGTGTTGTTGTTGCCCGAATGAAAAATTGTCTGTGTAAAATACTGATTATCCGCTTCGAAGCGTACGCGAGTTGCGGAGCAGACGGGTTTCGAGTTTCCATTACGTTTATAAGACGCACTTTAATAATTAACTAATTTAAAAACTCGCCACTAGCAAACTAGTATCTTACCTTGTGATGTCTTCAGTACTGACTGCCCTTGGGGTACCAGGAGGGTGGTGAAGGGCTAAATTCGAGGAGTGCACCGAGTGCACCGAGTGAAGAGATTCTGCGTATCCATGGGATGCTTTGGTGGCTAAACAAAAAAGAAATAAATTAGGACTTAGGGTGGTGGTTACTCCTTTTTCATAGTTCTTAGAGACAAATGATGGACAAGCGGGGTGCGCCAAAATAAAATCGGCAAAAATAAACTATTGTGTACTAATGTGTATGCATAGGGGGGGTCAACGATTCGGGTAAAACATCACCGAAAAATGTTCGACGACCTAAACGCCATCTACAATAACGGGAATGACGCGCTTTAACAATGGGGTTTTACATAGCAAAATTACCTCTTTTCGTTGCAGAGTAATGAAACGTGGATCGCCCTGAACATAAAATTAAATCAATGTAAATTTAATGAATAATCCTGGATGGCTGGGATTGATGTTTACCTTGCTGATGCCGGACTTAAACCAACCAATTCTTAACCAATAACTATGTATCCCCAAATCACACAATTTTAAAGTCATCGGTATTTAAAATGTATCGTATTAATATATAGTACAGGCGATATACGCAATTTCATTAATAAAATGACGTTTATCCATTTTGCGTAATATATAGTCATTGCTTTGCCAAAGTTTCAACATCTTAATAGGCACAAGTAGAAAATGAGAACCAATAATGTAAAATTTGAAACTGACATTGGCGAACTAATTTGCTACCTGTCATATAGGCGTCACGTTTCATTTCACTTGTAATAGTTATTGATATAATTTCATGACAGTATTAATGAACAACATTTTATGAGATGCTAAATTCCTGTGTTGCTGGTTTTTGGGTAATTAAAGCATTTAACTTCTACTGGATAATCGTATAATTTGATTAAGCTTTATAAGTGAATTATTATATAAACATCATTATATAAATAAAATATTAATTTGATTTTATCTTTTGTGCGTATTGTGCGTATTCCAAGAAATAAAAGAGTCTTTTTTGAAATAATACTCTTGAAAAAAAAGATAACTGTTCAATATCAAATTTTTTTACATGGTAGAAAAGAAATATTTGAATATAATATAAATTTCAGAATATATGAATTTTGCATACGCATAAATATTTAAAGAAAATATTGTTTTATCATGAAATAATGGGCAATTTCAGTAAATGATTTATATAAACGAGCAAAAGAAAAACGAAAATCCTTAAGAGGGGAACCTCTTCTTCTCTTTTGTAAACATTGTCTCATTTTCAAAAAGATTATTTAATACTGTTCAATTTTTGAGCCATTTGTGAGTAATATAATTTTTTGGTATCTCAGCAATTTTTAAAAACAAGACAAATCTGAACTCTTGAGAAAATGGGCGTGAAATTAGACTTATAACTAAGCTTTTCAAAATTACTGCTAGACGAGTCGTATTTGAAACGCCAAATTAATGAATAAATATATCAATTTCAAATACAAATACAATAACGTATTATTAAATGTTATATTTGAAAGTAATATTCATTAAACCATAGACACTCCAACTATATTGAAGGGCAAATATTTATGAAACAATGCATTGTCGATAACCTTCTGTACATCGCATTCCGTAGATGAAGTTTAACATCTTCAGGCGTAAACAATTAACAAAATAGGGTAAATTCTGTTCATAGATATAAGAGAAAGTGACTAACTGAGACCCGGGCAAGCTGTAAGAATGAAATATGGCCGAACAGGTCCGTACTTTGCTTAGAATTTAATTATTTGGGGTTTTGTTAGGAAAGATACTAAACAATATTTATTTATTTATGTATGTATTTATGTTTAAATCTAAAATACAACTACAAATTATTTTTATTACCTACTTAAATTACTTAAAATTATTCACATAATATATCAGTATCACTATCGTCTGTTCTAATTATTATTTGTTCTATATTATTTGCAATATGGATATACAATTGTTCTGCTTTTTCTATATGTTTAATAGAATTTGTCCAACTTTGTGGAGGGATGTTAAAAACTACTGTTTCTATAAGTTTGAGGACATTGGAATTAACACGGGGAAAAACATTGTTACGACGAATGGCAGATTTCAGTTAGTGCCAAACATGTTCAATGGGATTAGATATACAGTGGTAAGGTGGAAGCCTTAAAACTGTATGCCCTAGATTTTTTGCATAATTATTATCAGTTGAGTCAACCCAACCCTTTTCCGGAGTATCATAAGTTTCGAACCAAGTTTCATCCAAGTAAATAATTGGCCTTTGTTGTTCTGTGTAAATCCTAATTTTTTGTAAATATTCCAGTCGCCATTTCCGAATTCTAGAAGATTCCATTAAAACTTGCCTTTTGTCAATTTTTTAAATCTAAAACCCATGTGTTGAATACACTTCCATAAGGTAGTTCTGCCACATTTAACACCGGTTTCATCTTTTTCAAGCCTCCTAATTAAGATATATAATGTGGGCACGTTTTGTTCCTCGTATAACTAGTAAATTTTACGCCGTATTATATCTTGATCACTTTCATCTACACTCGAGAAAATGTCAGCGTCGCTTCTTTTTTTATCGCTGAAATGGAATTATTCACAATTTCCCATACAGTTGATATTGGAATTTTCGTCAATGTGGCCATTTCTTCTAAATATGCTTGCTAGCTGGCACCACGTTCAATGAGAGTCAAATAAACATTGTTTATAACTTCCTTAGTCTCGATAGAATAGTATTTTCTACATTTGGACGGAAGATACACTACACTCGCACATATTTTGAATAATTCGCACACGATTCAACACACGCTGTATTACACACGAAATAAGAATGATTACTAATAAACTTAAAGTTAAGTAGTATACCAAACCAAAGAATATTAAACACAGTTAGGTATAAAATTATTTTCTATTACGGACCACAATTTTAACTGAATTTAAATTCCGAAACTTTAGATAATGATCTTGTTGCATTGTATGTTAATGACCACCCTTGGATGATCCCATTCAAAGGCAATTGGTCACTTTCTTATATCTATGAACAGACCATACCAATAACATTGATTTACTATTTGTCATCTATGTTTACCCGGAGTCGTGTTAATTAGGGTAACGAATAACCGGGCCACGCTTTTTCCTAAATTACAACCACGCTGAAAACCTACTTGATCGATAAAATTCAAGCGATTAAGGTTATTTATTTGCCACACATCTGCGAAACCAATTTCAATTAAGTTAAGAGCAACGATGCTCCCAAGGTCGAAGACAAGGTGGAGTCTCGGGTGATTTATCGTGAAAATGTCATCGGAAGTTCTGTGCCCCCTCACCGCCCGATCGGAAACGGAAAGTTCGACTAAATTATGTTACGCGTAAAGTCGTATAACCCATAACTCGTTGCTGACCGATAAATTTCTATCAAAAAGAAATAGTGAACTATGTTGTTGCGAAAAGTTCGCATAGGGGACGTGTACAGGGTGTTATGTGTTTCCTTGAATTCGAAAAGATGGAAGGACGCGGTTTTTATATTACTGTTTATTTTTGGGGCGAAACAGCAAATAAAATTGTTATGGTTTTGTTTCTGAAATAAGGATCGTCCTGGAACCGAAATTACGTTGGTGCAGTGGCGCACTTGATTTTTTGCAGCATCGTCTGAACAAGGCAACTGTTGAGCTAATGAAACATTATGCGGAAATTAATAAATTCATACTAAATGAAAGTAAAACTTTTCCACATGGAATTTAAATAGGAGTTTATTAGTAATCTTCAATGAAAGCACAATTCCGCAAAAATGCCGGAGTTTATATAGACTAGAGACTCTTGAACTGAGGTGGCTTTTACTTGATGAAAATCCATTTATCAAAATAAATAAGAACTAAAAGTTCAGATTTTCACGAAATTATATATTATGACATGACAATTGTTTCGACAAATGTCATAATATATAATTTCGTGAAAATCTGAACTTTTAGTTCTTATTTATTTTGACTAGATACTCTCCTGGTTCGAACGGGGTGGATCACATTCTCAAAAAACTTTCTGTTTACTTCTTGGTTATATGGAGGCACTGCCATCAGGTTTCTTTTCCCTTAGTAAAAATGTCTAGTCCTGTCTTAACTAGGCCATGATTTATTACGGGGTGGGGGGGGTTCCCCAAGTGCGGAGCAAGTCTTAAGGATGCAGAAACGCGTTTTTTAAATGCACTATAACGGACTATATTATTTCCACAACGTGACACTTCCTAGTATGTACATACTAAATTGTGCCACTTATATAACAAGCAACTCTAATTTTTATATGGTCTCAAAAAACTCAGATATTTAGTAAAATTTAAGATCGAATCTTAACATACAAATACCTAAACACCGACTGTCTCTTACATCAAATAGTCTTTTTGGTGTGGACCTTAAAAATTAATAATAAATTGCCGATCGAACTGAAGGAGATAGCTACTCAAACAAAATTCAAATACACTCTTAAAAACAATTAATTAAATATACTAACATAATGATATATTAAATACATTTGTATTATACTGAAAATATCCAACTCTTGTAACTCAAGTCTTATGGAAATAAATTCATCTTTATCTTTTGAATGAAATAAATAACCTCTATATGTATGGAGAAGCCTTCGTTTTTTAACGAATACGTTTTGAGTGAGTTTAATGATTTTAGACAGAATGATGGTTGAGAACTAGTTGACAGGCCTCCTAACACCAATATTGTTAGAAATATGTGGGTGTTTAAAATTAAAAGAGATCAAAGCGGCCAAATTGCAGCATATAGAGCTCCTTTAGTGGCAAATGGGTTTACTCAGAAATATGTCTTACTGTTTAGTCATGAAAATAGAAAGAAATCGTGCTAAGAGTTTGGTTTTTGTAATATGTTAGTCAGTCCACCTATGATAATCTAATTTTGATAACTTCAGGGCATCATACATATAAATACACAACTTTTATCCCATTTAACCGCCCTGTATCTATATTCGTCTAAAAGTTTCCCATACAATCCCACTGTTATTCATTTTGTTTTAACTTTTTTTAAAATATACGAGTAGCATTTAGAAAATAAGTTTCACATTTCCACAGTAGATCATGGTTAAGAGTAAAAATTCAAATATTTTTTTTTACATGAAATACACTAAAAGAAAAATACCACTAACCACCGTTATTTATAAATAATTTCTGAAAATCTTATGTCTAGTGCATAGTACTTAGTAACTCTGAAAAAAGAAAAATCCTCGGAAAAATCATATATAACCTTCTAAGTCAGTAAATTAAGTTATTAACCGGAACATTTACAAAAAATATGGTTTTGTCAATACAAAAATTATTTGGAACTATTTAGAAATTAATTATACATATTCTTTAAGAAGTATTTATGACAACTACATCACAAAAAAACAACAAAAAATTTCCACTATATAGGTAAGTAAGTAAATTAGTCATACTTCTCTTAATAAAGTGAGGGATATAGTAGATAGCTTCATTTAATAGAAAATCAAGGATTTTATTTTAAAATTGCAAGTTTAAATTTTTTACCCACTCAGGGAGTTTGTTATAAAGAGGCAATAATATTTTTTGCTAGACAAGCTATTAATTAAGATTCAGTAAAAACTAAACATCTGGGTCAGAGATATAAGGTAACTCAAGCTTCTTAGTGATGGACCTGATATTCCTTTAAAAAAACTTTTTGATACTTTCGTAAATATGGCGAAAAAGCAAAAATGTTTTTTTTTGGGATGTTACTATTTTACTATTTTATTTTAAAATTTGGAAAAAACTGCGAAAAACATTCTTATCAGGAATCTTTGAGCTTAACGGTTTGACAAAGTTTGCCGTTACAAAAATACGAAATCACAAAGAAACCGTTTATATTGTCAATAACAATATACGAGCTGAAAAAAAATAAATTACTCACATAATTGCGGTGAATACGAGGTATCGGACGCGGGGGCGTTGAAGGCACTTTCGGGTTTGGCGACGATGAGCACGACGCGGTCTTGCGTCGTCTTGAGCGTGGCGACGGCCTCTTCGTGAGTCACATTTTCCAGATTCACCTCTCCTTTCTGCAATTCGAAATTCATAACCTAGTGCCGAACATTAGTCGCAAATAAAAATCGGAATGCCAATTTTGGATTACATGACATCTACATTATCCAAACATTTTGGGAAGTGTAAGTTGAAGTATTTTAATTTTCATTCGAACATTTGAATTGTGGGGAACTATTATAATTATGGTTTTCATATGGAGGCTGCATTTAATTTTATTAACCTTTTTATTGGTTAAAAAAAATACATTCCGGCTAAAGAGTCAACAAAATACACATTTTTAAATAATTGGAAAAAAAACCCTAAAATCTAAACTTCAAAATATGTGATATATTCAGTAAATTAGTTAACGTCGACAATAAATTACTCGGTAATGCAACAGTCACTTATCTAGTATTTAAAACAAAATAATATTCTTTGACTTTTTTTTTTATTTTTTATATCGTAGAAAAGAAAATACCGTGTAACATCTATTTCATATAAAATAAAGTTGATGGCTTCAGAGGCTAAATTAGTATTTAACTGCATAACAACATATTGAAAAAAAATTATGTGCAATCGCTTCTGCCTACCAGATAACCAAAAAGAATATTTGTACATGAATTATCCGAAAAATTTAAATTAAGTACTAAAAAAAAAACAAAGACAGTCACAAAGAAAACTTTAAATTACCCACAACTCCATTAAAAAGTTTTTCCATTTAATATTTTTCCCACAGTTTTCGAGATCTACAGGTAATCTCAAATCAAGCGATCCCAATCTCAAATATTAAAAATTTTAAAAACATTTTCGAGCACATTTTACAACGACAACACAAAATTCACTATATAATAGTGTTTGAACTAAAAAGCTTAAAAAATTACGTTTATAAAAAATGCAGGTCAATTCAAAAACACTTTAATTCGAGGTTTAATTAGTTTTAAATCTTCTATTTATTTGTTTTGTCACCTGTTTTTTTTATTAACAAATAAATAGTTACTTTTCCAAAGAAACTTCCACAACCTACTGTAATACTTTTTATAAAACTTCTGACTGCAAGCTCTGAAGAAGCCAACAGGATTATTGGCGAAACGTTAGCAAGTTCGTGTCAACAAAAACCGACGAAGGAACAATCCAGAAGTTTTATTTAAAAAAAACAGTTCTTTACGGTGGTTACGAAAATAAAAAAAACTCACCACAGCGTCTCTGACGGCCACCAATTTGTCACCAACAAGCAGTCGACCATCGACCTGGGCGGCACCGCCGTCCATCACCTTGGTGACGTAAATGCCGTTGTCACCAGGGATGTGCTGGTTGCCGATCCCGCCGGCGATGCTGAATCCCAACCCCTTATTTCCCTTTACCAATTCGATTTCCATTAGCCGCAGGTGACGCGGTTGTCTACGCCGTCGCACGCTCTACAACAAATCGACGACAAAATACGATTAGTTTTGTTTATTTGTTTAACCTAAAAGTTGTGAAAATGTTAGACCGCGAGAGTAACTATGTGTATACTCTCGTGATCAGTTAATTGTTTTCAGGGACGACATGTTAGTTCAACTTTGCGGTTTTCATTATTTGGCTATTGTTATCCTACATCCTACATTTACCTAATAATATACAAAATATTAACAAAACAACGGATAATATTAAAAAAACCCAAACTCAGTCGCTAATAATGTTAGACCAATGCTAGGTATAAACCTCGAAACCAATACCTTCTTTTCTTCTACCAACTTTGTTTTTTTTTTTATAGATAATCCATTCTAATATATTAGAGACCGACGGTCGCGTCGATGAATGTATTAGTGTTATTTTACAAAAATGTACCCAAAAACTAACGGTTGTAGAAAACGTACCATGCAACACGTTTATTAAACTTTTGAAGTCACTCACTTATTAATCGCCCGCTACGCTTGTGTAAATAAACTCGTGACTCAAATGCCGTTTATCCCACTTGTTGCCTAATATACTATTGTAGTTGTAACTTTTCTTGTCGGGGATAAAGGAAGAGAGGATATGAGACACCTCGTATACACAAATTTGGCTGGCGAGTTAGTGTTGGGACTGGTCAATTGACCACTTCTTTATTAACTTGTCAAATTTAAATCATAATTGTAGAGTGTTGTCTATGATTATTTAATAATATGTATTTTAAAATAAATTATTATAAATTTCATTGCATTTTAAAAATTATTTGACACAATCCTACCTGTTATGTGGGGTCAAATATTCTAATAAATCTATGGAATATTTGGAATATTATTTGCCCTTCCGAAAACAATATTTGTGCTAGTAGTCATTTTCGGGGGAGGCGATTCGAAATATAAACCGAATAACTTATGGATTTTACTAATGAGCATGCTGTCATCGAACTAATTCGGGATATTTGAATTCTGCGAACGGCACTACGGGATTTTACGAATTTGAATATTTAGGCACGACTAATTAACATACCCATATTAATTATGGATTGATTAAGCTAACTTAAGTTTTGCCAGATTCATGGTAACCTATTGGAAATATTGGACATTTTTTACAATAAAATTGCAGAACAGACTATACAATTCTCATATTCTAGGCATTATTAAAAATTACAAATTTTACATTGCACGTTAAACTATTATTCCTGTCTAGTTTCGATTTGCCTGTGTTCTCTATGCGTGAAGAAAGGGAGAAGGGAACTAACTGTATATAGAAGGATCGCAATAAGATTTACTGGCACTGTTGCCAAATTAACAAAAAGAAGTGGAACAATATACTAAGGAAATAAAGGATTGTACGAGTAATGTCAGTATTTTTATGTATTTTCTATGTCTAAAGCTAGATTTTTAGCCATTTTCGTGAAAATACCATTTATTAAACACTGTTTTTGTGAAACTGTAAAATCCTCATACGATGTACAGGTAAGTTTATTTGGTAAGACATACACAAATCAGCAATAATCTTTCAACCCCAGACTTTCTTTCCATGTCTTCCTTTCTTAGCATTTCTTAGCATTGATTGAGTTATAAATCATTATTGAACTGTAAAACTTAGTGGTCTTAGCATATTCCAGTGGAATAGTATTGTTGTATGATGCTCGTCAAGGGTCCCAAGAGAGCCTTTAAGTTATTTACTCTTTGTGTCTATAATTTTCGGCCGTGGTTGACAAAGTTCGTTCTTGCATATGGAGAGTGTTTTTCAATATGTTGCGCTTTCTAAAAATGAGAAAATTATTATTCTCAATGTGTTCAGAGCTCCTCGCAACTAAAACTCAGCATTCGCAGTAGCAAAAATAGTTGATATGTTCGAATATGATTGGAGCTGCACAGTCAATAATGAGGATGAAGGATGAAAAAACGGCCATCAGAAGAATCATACACTCGTTTTACTTAAAAAGAGAAATACTTACCTTAGACAAAATAATACCTGAAATGAAAAATGTAAAATGGAAAATTTTAAAGGTTTGAATTTTCGTTACGGAAAAACTCTAATAAAGAAAAACGAAATTATCTGCTGCCAATCGCGATATTTGAGAGCAATCAAACAGTTTCGAAAGGAAAAGGATATATTATCGGTCCGGAACCAAAGTAAATGCAGAATATAACGTTGCTAAAACATGGCAGGACAAAAACTTAAAAAGTGCGTGGCAAGCTTCCATATAATTGGTATGGGCGGAAGTAAAAGGTTTTGTAGTAAGGCATAACACCACTTAAAATGAGGGACGTTGAAAACCTCTTGCAAGAAGAAATAAAAACAGTGGACTATGAAAAATGGAGTGCTGACTGAAATAGAAGAATGCATGTGGGAAGCTGATAACATGCTATGGAGCTCATTATTTCTCTGGATTCCAACGGCTATAGTTCATCTTAATCATTATAATATCTCATCTCAATAATTATCATTATGTGTTAGAGATATGATGTCATGCACAGAGAATTAATGCCATAAATCCCGAGCAGTATTTCAAAAACAAAAAAAAGAACCATTTTTTGAGTTGTCGTTTTTTCCAATTATTCGCAAAATCAGTGAAGTAAATTGCTCAAAACCAAACACATGTATAATTATTATATTTATTATTGTAACAAACTACTTGTTAAAAAACTAACCAAAACTTGTCGTTCTATTGTACGCAAATTAGTGTGGGCCGAATTTAGGAATCCTTGCAACGCATCTGCAGTTTACGAACCTTTAAGTTATCCACCCTGTTTAATAAAATTTACATTTTATTACCCTCTCGCGCTAAGAAACATGCTACAGAATCTGCTGAACACGTTCCAAGTGAGTTAGAAATTAGGTACGCTTCTTCCAAGAATTTTTAATCCCGAGTGGTAATTTTCTACATCGCAAGCATCCAATTTACTAATATGCATGGGTTGTACATATTTCGGATGGTGGTACATATTTCGGATGGTTGTACATATTAAAAAAAAAGCAATATTCGTGTACTCCGACCACAACTATAGTGCTTTTACAACCAACCCCGTGATTAACTTTGCCTACTGTTTATTACTCCAAAACCCCAACCCAACCCTTATAGAACACCCTGCCGAGCAGACTCTTACCCATAACCATTGCAGAACCGTCCTAGGAATTTATCTACCTACACTAATAAGCGGGACATAAGTATGGTAAGTAAAGTAACAATTCATTACGTTATATTTCATTACATTTCCACATAGAATCATCATTAATGTACAAAATATTAAATATAATAATAATAAAGTATCAGTCAGTTACAAAATCCTCACTATCGCTACTGGCGTCACGTTTATTAATTGTTTGGATCTGAAAATCCATTTTCTTCAAAAAAATACGCAACGACTTTTTGGCACAACTAATGTTTAAGTCTGTCAGTACTTTTTTATGCAGTGCTTCTAGGGTTAAAACACTATTCATTTTATAAGAATCATAGATTATACCCCTAATTAGATCTGCTTGCTGTTGCTCTTTAAAAACTCGCGAAGTACCCAGCATCATCTCTCACTTTCCTCTTCACTATCCCATTTGCAACAATTTTTCTTATAGTTGACTTTTTTATTTGCAGAGGTCTTCTAAACTGTCATTAGGTTCGACTACCATTTCCAATTATGCGTTGTTTTCCATGTCTTCTTCTAATAGGGGAACATGTGCTTTATTCCACGGTCTCTACATTTTAAAATGTTAAAAAAAGGAACCTTCAAAAAATGTTTAATTGAAAGATTCTAATAAATATTTACCTATATTCTTATGACGTACCTTTATGTACCGCGAATATAATTTATAGTCTTAAAAAAGATTGTAGTTGTTTACAAATCGAAGAACTATGTAAAAGACACAAAAACACAAGAAGGAGAAGAATCGACAGGCACAGACAAAAATGATTATTTTCAAACTTACCTGGTAAGATAAATAGAGTACAGGTACTTACCCTTAGCCTTTGAACTATCCAGTGAAAACAGCCTCGCAGGGTCAAAGCTCGAGAATCAGGTAAATAAATACGTACTTACTGAAAGGATCACAGTTAAATACCTCCGTAATATATACGAACGTATTTCAATTTAGATTAAACTCTTAAGGACATATCAGCTGATGTCAAAATAAACGCTTCTACTTATTAAATCAAATTTAAAACGGTCCATTTACGTTTCAAATAAAAATTTCAAGTTTCTACAAATATTCGTTACGATCCATTTCAGGAAAGACTTGCTTATTGCTGAATAAACATCTATTGGGATGGGTCACGTCACTATATTTTTGGTCGTATTATATCAGTATCGTGCTGCCGCATAAACTCACCAAGGTGACGGTGTTTCCCGCCCGTTTCAGGGCTTCGACGGCAGCGGCGTGCGGCACGTCGACCACAGCGACATCGTTAACGGCTAAGATGGAATCGCCGACCTTCAGGCGACCGTCGGCGGCGGCCGCGCCGCCGGCTATGAGTTTGGTGACATAGATAGCGGTGTCGTCACCCACGTGCGGATTGTCGGTGCCGCCGGCGATGCTGAACCCGAGTCCGGCGCCACCCCGTTCCAAGGATATCTCCTCGTATTCCCATTCGTCTTCGCCATTCACCTGAAAAAAGAAAAGATGCTGTTCAGTTTTAAGATTATAAACAAACCTTAAAATTCGTTCCGAAAATATTTGATAACACGAACTTGGGTAATCGCGAGAACCTCAAAAATTGATGGGATTTAGGGGGCTATGCTATTTTCTTAGAGAAGTCCGATAAATTTCATATACAACCTGCACTTTGTGCCACTTGTATTCCAAACGGCAATCTCCACACCTCAACTCGTTTTTCCTTAAACATTTAACGGGATCTGAGCACATTTTATAAAACTACTGCCATAACAATGACACATAAAAACTGAAAACTGTGGAACTGAAGAACTATCAGCGGCCATGTTGGTTGCTGAACGCCGCTACGTATTATTGGTTGAAATCGATAACTCGGGTATTGATAACATTTCTTTCATGGTGGCTTCAAAAGTTCCTCCATTATTAGCATATAGGCAGTGCCTCTATATACCTAGAGATCTTATTTAGCTACTAGAGATATAGAGGCCTTGTCTCTGCCGATAGTACTTTTGACAAAAATTTTGAACGACCTTGTGCCATTCAACAACCAACATGGCCGAGACAGATCGTCAATAAGTTCGGATGTTTTAGTATTTTCTCAAAATATGCTTACAGTCTGAGAACAAGTTAAATGTGTAGAAATCGCTGTTTAGAAAGAAAAAATGACGCAAAATGCAGGTCAGTGGGTGAAATGCTTGCGAGGAAAACCATTACCTTTTCTACACACACAGAAAAATAATGCGTTTTAAAAAGCACAAGAAATCACCTTGTAATAAATCCATCATTTTCTACAATTTTAGTAATCAATTTTATGTGGAGGGTGCCCCGAAACCTACGGAGCTACAAAAATCGCTTTTTATATACAGAGTGGTAAAACAAAGTTACAGTTTTTTAAATAGAACACCTCACATTTTGTTGCTTTATTGGGATAGTCCTGTCAAAGACAAATTCAACTATATATATGAGTATGGGTCTGTGCCGTTTCGAACTTATTAGCGATCATCTTCAGAATTCGGGTTATGTCTAAACCATCATTGTTGCGTTGCTTATTAACTCTTTAAACTTTTTTCCATCTATTATTTTTACGAAAATAATGCAGCGCGGTATTACCACGGTATTACCACTACACACTTTTCTCAAATTTCTTAAATGAGACACCTTGTATGTTATTGGATTTTCGAATAGCCACTTTAATAGCAATTTCAATTATATAACATAGTACGGGTTTCTGGCTTACCGTTTTGGCTTAATTGGCAATTATTTTCCAATAATACATAAATACTTTTACATTTATAATTCAAGAATCTTCTAAATAAGGTCCTTAAATGGAAAAAAACTTAAAAAATATTCACATCCTATATAATACAGTCTTTAAAAAAATATATAGAAATCTACCTGTTGGAAGACACAAACACAAAATTGATAATATTATTAATGTTGACCTTCTTGACATAATCATCGCAGTAGCTTTGAAAACAACAGTAGTTCTCTGTTGTGGTAATATTACTGATTTTTTGACAGGTATCAGTGTATTATAATATTTTAAGCGTATTTTTTGAGACTTCCACTATTTTATATTTATTTTATTAAGTTTTTGTTGAGTCTATTTGGTATAATGTATACGAAAAAGCAAAAAGTTGACCTATTAGAATATTATATCGCCAATAACAAAAGTCCGGCTCTTGCCCTCAGACAATATAGAGCCAAATTTCCCCACAGGCGATTGGCAGAAAAAAAACATTTGCGAAAATATACCAGGCAGTTTCCAGTGTTTTAGTGGAAAAAAAAGGAACCGGAACGGTTTTGGATGAAAATATGTAGCTAGTTATTCTTCTGTATTTTTACTTAAGACTAGAATTTTGCAATATAATGATGGATATCATTTTGCGAAACGTGGCAACGCCGCGTATTTTAAGAAAATATTTTAAATTTGATCATTGCCTAAAGGAAAGCATTATTTTCGTAAAAATAATGGATCTAAAACTAATATATGGATGAATTAACGTTATAAATAAGAAAACCTGTATTAAATTAATGTTGCATGTGCTAGAAACTAAAAAATAGGACTTTCTAATCCAAAGATAGCGTTAGCAGAAAAACAAAGATTTTAAAATCGTTATGTTAAACATTTAAAATAATATTTTGTGATACTTATTTTATTATCTGTGTGACTATAATATTAATGAGTTTCTTTTCAACTCAAATGCAGACAATATTTATGTTTTAATAAGAATAAGAAATAAAAATGTTAATTTCACATGTTAATTTCAAGAAGACATTATTGTAGCATCATATAGCGTCTTATTGATTTATTAAAAAGCACCAATGGCGCATATTCAATTATGCCTTAATAGTTAGCGTTTTTTTTTTTCAATTTTATGTTTTTTTTCAGAGTGTACGAAAATATCAATAACGCCTGCGGCGCATCAATTTTTACCGCATTAGGGCCACTATATTATCTGATGATAAACGCTATGAAAAGCCATAAACAAGCAGTTTATAGCACATGTATGGCTAGCAAACGTGCTGCAAAGTTAAAAACTATTCTCGTTTGAGTATTCACAAACTCCCCATCGCGTGAATAAAATTATTCTCTCCATATACCGATATAGTGGTCCACAAGTTGAACCATTTTCATCGTCAATTCCATAATCACTTGAACATATCGATAGGTAAAATGATACCTTCAGAGATGGAAGATTTCATTAAACTGATCCATACAATTGGTGAGGTCTTGCTGTTATGAAAAAAAAAACTACCAAAATACACATTTTATAATTTTTCAATAAACATGTTATGTTATGTTATGCATCGTTGAACGCGAAAAAAGTTTAGCTCATAGATATCTGTAAGTTGCTTATCATTTCTCAATTATTTTGACTTACTTTTAAAGGACAGTTTATTCTTACTGCATGGCACTTGGATTTATACACTTTTCACGAAATTCTTTTAATTTTTAAGTGTAAAATCAAACACAAGACAAAAATTATCTTCGGATTACCTATTAGTTTCTGTAGTGCAGTTTTTTTTATGGAAGGACGCTTTCGTTTATCAAAATGAACCTTAGAAATTAGGTACGAAAAGAGAGAGGTGGTTTCTAAATCAAACTCAACTGAGACCAACAAAAACTGAGCACACAAAAACGTTGGCTTTAATATTCTCAAGCAGTTTGCCATTTGCTATAATAATAGCTTTCACCTCACTAAAGCAAATTTATTCAAGTAGATAGATTTTGGACGCAAAATCATGCCGCGTTTGAAGTTTGCGTACTTCACTTTTAAATCAGAACTGTTCAGTAATTAGTTTTAAACAATTAAAGTTTTTTTTTGTTTAAAAAAACCTACATAATCAGTGTAGCACAAGCACATAGCAAATTTCTGCAAAATATTCATAATAGTTAAAATTTAACGAATATAGAATTAAGTTGTATTTTTTTTGTCTATAAACCATCTCTGTATAGGAACGCAATTTTAACATGCACGTAGACGGAACACTAGGAAAATAAGGAAGATTCTGATTAAGAAAATACGTTTCATTAAAAAAAAACTTTGGGGTGTCTCGTCTATTTCTTCTGATGGTTTAAGCCAATCCATACTAAGCTTTAGACATAACTTGTGATGAACTCTAGGCTAGGGTTTCAGTTAGCACAACAATCAAAAAACCGAATAAAATGTCGTCATATAGCAACTGTCCTCCCAAAATCTCAGATACCAATTTTTCCAGATCTGCGTCGCTATCAAAACGAAAAAATACGCCACCCATATTTTTTAACATCCGAAGATTATTTCAAAGATTTAAAAACACAAAATCTGGTCGGTAAAACAGAAACCATATACTAATATTGACAAAATGCCGAAAAGACGAACTTTCCACAACTGCGCCAGGCGTTTGCTTAATTCCATAGAAAAACCTTCAATTTAAATCAACAGCGTTTTGTTCCGGTGCACATTCGGGACACTAAATAATTAGATTAATTTTGCGTCCACATTTCAAGGAAAATAGCCTCCACCGTCAGACATATTCGAAACAAGTTTCAAGCATTGCCGGGGCAAAAAGGCGGCCTAAAGTTTTTGACATGTTAACTGCGATGGCCACGGTTCGTTTTTCGATGTTATTTTACCGCTGTGCGCTTTCAGTGAAAATATGCGCTCAGACTTTGGATGCAATTTAGATTTTAAATAGAGCGATCGCGAAGTGTTTTTCATCTAGTCCGACAACTATATGAAAAAAGATGAGGTCGGTATATTTGTTTTTGTTGTTTTGTTTTTCGAAAATGTAAGCGGTTAGTTGAGACCAGTGAACACTATCTAAAATCTAAACACTAATGACAACGACGGCGGAGTGATAGAAAAGTGAGGCAAATTTTACAAAAAAAAAAACGGCTTTTCTGTTTTCAATGCGGGAGAGTTATTAATCATTATTGAACTGTGTGAACTGTGAACTTAGTGTTCGTAGCAGTATTCCATAAGCGTCGTATTTTCATGATGATGACGATTTTCAAGGGTCAGTTGATGACAAAGTTCGTGCTCGAAAAGAGCTAGTTTTTCTGAATGTGTTGCTGAGAAACGGATTAGGAAAACTGTACTTTCTAAAAATGAGACAACTATTATTCTCAATGCGTGCAACCAAAAATCAATATTCGGAGTTGCAAAAATAGTTCAAATGTCGAACACGACTGGAGTTGAACAGTCAACAATATACCACTTGACCAAAGAGAAGTGCAGGAAGAAAAGAAACGTTATAAAACGAATGTTGATGATCAAAATTAAATTGTAAATTAAATGAACAGATAGAGTTGCATTGTACACATTTTTATAATAATAATAAAATTTATTACAATTCATCTATTTTCATATTATTTTTATATTTATATTTTATAGACATTATTTTTACTTGTATATGTTTTTATTTACTCGATCTTAGAACAATTAGTATCTTAATTATCTGGCCATTTCTATAATTATAAAAATGTATAATTATTATATTTAGTGTCC